TTGCTTCTATGTTCATTAGTGAGATTGGCCTATAGTTCTCTTTTTCAGTTGGGTCTTTCTCTGCTTTGGGGATCAAGATGATGCTTGCTTCCAGGAATGAATTCAGGAATATATCTTCCTTTTCAATTTCATTGAAGAGTTTAAAGAGTAGTCGCAGTAGTTCCTCTCTAAATGTCTTGTAGAATTTTTCAATGAAGCCATCAGGACCCAGGCTTTTCTTAGTTGGTAAGTATTCAATTACGTTTTCAATTTCATTGATTCATATTGGGTTGCTTAGAAATTTTAGGTCTTCTTCGTTCAACTTTGGTAATTCATACGTACCTAGGAATCTGTCCATTTCTTCTGTGTTTTCCATTTTACTGGCGTATAGGTTCTTGAAGTAGGTATTGATGATCCTCTGGATTTCTGCTGGGTCGGTTGCAATTTCATCCATTTCATTCTCAATTGCATGGATTTGGGCCTTTTCTTTCCCTTTTCTGATAAAGTTGCCTAAGGGTTTGTCAATTTTATTCTTTCAAAAAACCAACTCTTGGCTTCATTGATTTTTTGTATCTCTTAGTTTCCATTGCATTGATTTCTGCTCTGATCTTTATAATTTCCTCCCTTGTATAAGCTTTGGGTTTGTCCTGCTCTTTTTCTTTTAGAAGCTGGAGCTTCAGCATCAGGTTGTTTCATTGGCCTTGCTCTTTTTTCCTAATATGAGTATTCACTGCTATGAATTTCCCTCGTAGACTGCTTTCATTGTATCCCCTAGATTCTGATATGTTGCATTATCATTGTCATTTAATTGCAGGAACTGTCTGATTTCTTCTTTAATTTCCTCTGTGACCCATTGGTTATTCAGAAATGTGTTGTTCAGTTTCTATGTGTTTATGAAATTCTTGTGGTTTCTTTTGCTACTGATCTCCAATTTCATCATACTATGGCCTGATAATATACAGGGGATAACTTCAATTTCTTTGCACATACTTAAACATGTTTTATGAGCGAGTACGTTGTCTAGTTTGGAGAACGACCCGGGTGTAGCTGAAAAGAATGTGTATTCTGATTTTGTGGGGTGCAACACTGTGTTAAACATCTGTTAAGTTCATTTGTTCAGGAGTTTGACTGAGTTCTAGTATTTTGTTGCTCATTTTTTGTCTAGTTGATCTATTTGTGACAGTGGGGTATTGAGGTCGCCCACTACTATTGTATTAGTGCTTATTTGATTTTTCATCTCCATTAGTATTTGTTCTATAAGGTTGGGCACATTAGTGTTTGGTGTATATATATTTATGACTGTCATCTCTTCCTCTTCGATTGGTCCCTTTACAAGGATATAGTGTCCTTCTTTGTCTCTCTTAATCAGTGTTTGTTTGAAATCCACTTGATCTGCAAAGAGGATAGCTACTCTTGGGGTTTTTTTTTCAGTTTTCTGTCGCATGGAATATTGTTTTCCACCCTTTAACTTTCAGCCTATGAGTTTCTTTTTGACTTAAGTGTGTTTCTTGTATGCAGCATACTGTTGGTTCTTGCTTCTTGATCCATTCTGCCAGTCTATTTCTTTTGATTGGTGAATTGAGACCGTTAACATTGATGGTTATAATTGATATGTGTTGACTTAACATTATCATGACTTTTTGTTTCTGTTGGACTCTTCCCCTTTGCCTTAGTTTCTTGTCATACCTGATGGATTCATTCTGTTCGGCTTCCTGGGGTTGTGATCCCATTGTCTTTTCTTAGGATACTGTCTAAAATTTTTTGGAGTGCTCCTTTGGTATTCATGAAGTTCAGAAAGTGCTCTTTGTCATGAAAGTATCTTATTTCTCCATCAATTTTGAAAGATAGTTTTGCAGGGAACATCAATCTGGGTTGGAAGCTGTTTTCCTTTAGGGCCTGGAATACATCACTCCAAGCTCTTCTTGCCTTGCAGGTTTGAGTTGAGAAGTCTGCTTTAATTCTGATGGGCTTTCCTTTGTATGTGATTTGTTTCTTTTCT